TACGCATTGCATAGCAACCAGATCCCTTGCCTGTTGGATTTTGAGCAGAGTCAGAAACAGTGGTGCCCCGCTCAGAGATGACGGCCGACTGCATTGCTTTCAACGTGTGTTGCTCTCCATTGCCCTGGCAGTAATCCAGTCTGACATATCAGGCTCCTGAGAGGACTCACCACACCTGTTCTGAGTCTCCCATTCCAGGGCTTTGACCCATAATTCTTCCTGTTCCAGTTATGGTTCCGGATCACCCAAATTTAAAACATTCGGATCTTTTCTGGTTTTGTTTTGTTGGCCATGACTGAACTGGTTCAAACCAATCTGAAGCCCTGCAAAAAATATACCAGCATTAGACCTTTACCTCATCTCTGTTTCTCACTTTTCAGCGTTTTCCATTGGGAGGTGATGATGAAGTTATGAGCTCTACCCTGCAGCAGTTTTCAAAAGTTATAGATGAGGTAAATGTTTATTTTATTTTCCTTAAATTAGTGGTCTTATAATTAAGTTACCCAGGTTGTTTAGCTTTTACTGGGAACTTTTATTATTATGGTTATATGGGTAAAGCTTTATTGTAAAGAATATTACTTAAGGAAAGACCTTATTTCTATATCCTGGTGGCTGTAATAAAAATGATACTTTATTTGATTAAAACGAATTGTTTTTCAGGAATATGCATATAGCTGTGCTATCTCAACTCTCAGTCCATGAAACATTCAGTTTTTTGATTGTGTTACTTGATTTGGGCGGGGAGAGAAGACTTAAGCTGTGAACTACAGCTAGGCTCTTTATGGTTCCTTTCTTTTGCCTCAGACAACATCTTACCTTCAGTGCTTATTCATCCTTTCACCTCAGACAGCCAAAATTATCCCTTAATTTCCCAAAGCAGTTGTCAGAACAAAGCAGTCATCAGAAGCAAGGAGGAAGAATGGGGGTGAAGGATATGGGGCGAGTGCATAACTGTTTCCTACCATTGAAGTGCAGGCTCTAATTTTGCTTGAACTATTAGATGGTTCTGTCT